AATTACATTTCCAACATTACAAGGTTTTAAAATAAGATAAAAATAAAGCTACACATGGTGGCACATGGCTGTCATGTCAGCAGCTGAGGCAAGGAGGACTCCTGTGAGTTCAAGACCCGCCTGGGATATGTCTAAAAAAAAAAAAAAAAAAAAGAATACATAAAATGAAAATGTCAGAGCAAGCTGCATGAAGGGTAGGTATTGCTTGGTGGGACTTCGGCTCAGCATCTACGTATACATCAGCTTACAGTGAAAACTGCGTCTCATTTTGGGTATTGCAGTTTCAGAAAAGTGATATATGTGACCCGAAAAATCGGAACCTTCATCTCTGCACCCTCTTCTGCCCAGAGTGGTGATGAGCTGCTGTGGAAGAGACACTGGAAGTCTCCTTCAGCATTTTGCAATCTGACCCGTGACCATGAGGCAGGCCACACCCAGCAGTCTGTCCTTCCAGCTTTGGACAACCGGTCTTAGTACTCGTTTCGCTGTGCTCACACGAATCCTCTTATGTTTCCCTGGACTCTGGAAAAGCAAAGCGCCGCTTCTCCGTGGACTCCTTCCTCGGCTGGGGGCACCTGCAGGCTGCCCTGTTACATAGTCAAACTGCGGCCAGCTCCAAGACACAGATGGCTGTAGTCCCCCAAAATTGCCCGGAGCTCCAGGAGTCAGTGTGTGCCTGGCGAGGAGCCTCGCGGGACACCAGAGCTGGCCTCAGCCCCAGCCGCACTCAGCCTGCAGCCGTCACCCTGCAGTCTGAGCCGGGACGCCACCATCCATCCGCCAAGTACCTGCCGCCCTTGCAGGCATCTCTGCAGCTCGTCCTGGGCTGGGGGGCCTTCTGACTCAGTCTCCTACCTTCCTATCTAAGCCCCTTCCTTTTTCAGTCCTGCTCTGTGCCTGTACCGGCCACACGGCCACCGCGGGTCAGCCTTGTTTCCCAGTGCTCCGTGTGCCCAGTGCCTGTGGGGGCCAGCAGCCTTGGCATATGCACCTTCTAGCCCCCTCCAAGGGCTCAGCTGTCGGAGATGTTGAATCAGTACTGCCTGATGGAAAGTCCATCCTGTCTCAGTGCGAGCCCTGAGCCCTAAACTGGGTGGGATGGGGGAGGGGCAGGAGGGTGTGTGGGCGCGGGGAGGGGCGGGGCTGGCAGGCGCAGGCACCTCACGGGCTGGCTGGGGTGGTGCGCCTTGCTGTGCTGGTTCAGCATCATCTGGGACTGGTCCTGCAGGGCCTCCACATGCTCGGGATCCTTCAGACCCGGAGTCTCTGGGGGAGAGGCCATGCAGTGAGCTCGCCTCTGGGGCTTCCCAGCTAGGCTAGTCCCTCCGGGGTATCAGGGAGGGTGCCAGGGGAAGGAAGCCACGTGTCATCCCTCCCATTCCCCTTCCCCCCCCCCCAGTCCCATGTCTCACCCCATCCTCTGGAGGCTCGGGCAAGACTCTACCTGGCTTGAAGAGGACCAGGGCCTTCATGCAGGCGAACTCTGTGGGGTCCACGGCCAGCGCCCGGAAGCGGGCCACGGTCTCCTGTAGGAAGCGCCGCTCCGTGCTGGCCAGCGCCAGGCGGCCCTGAGAGCTGCCGGCCGCTGAGGCCTCGACCGGAGCCAGCAGGGGACAGCTGTCCAGGGGCAGGGACCACTGGATGGCCCCAAGGAGGAAGAGCTCGCCCCAGGCCTCTTCCAGTAGGATCACCTGTGCTCAGAGAGGGCCAGGGCATCAGGGAAGCCACCACCCCTCTGCTCAGCCCCGGTTGCCTTGAGTTCCCCCAGACAGGATAGGTCGGGCCTGAGTTCAATCCCCAGTTCTGCCAAAAATAAAGAAAAAATGATAGGTGGTGCCAGGACTCAGATGTACTGGCTGACAGCGGTGCTGGCAGTTGGAACACTTCCAGTCCCACTGCCCAGGGACAGTTGGGACACTTAAGGAAGCCTGGAGCCCAGGATGTAGGACAGCCTTGGGACAGTCCCCATAGTGCCCAAGCTGAGTGTGCTCAAAAAAGAGACTTGAGGTTTTGGTGATGTTAGGGATTGGATCTTGGGCGTTCACAGTGAGCTACATCCTTCCCCTTTATTTGAGACAGGATCTAAGTTATCCAGAGGGGAACCCAGGTGGGCCAAGTCCCGGCACCAGTGCATCCCTGGTTACTGTCCCTGCTCCACAGGTATGACACCCAGTGGTCACTACCCAAGCTGGGTGCCTCTCCCCACACAGGGGTACATGGGCTCCCAGCACAGCTGGCTCCAGGGGCTCTAGACTCTGCCCAGCCCAGGCCTGGGGGCCCATAGTTGGCATACCTGGTCACGGAAGGGCAGGTTGGACAGCACTGGCAGGTTCTTGGCCCACTTGACAGCCATGAAGAGCAGGCGAGCTGATGTCTCTTGGACACTGTCCAGGCCACAGGGTGACATGGGGAACTCGGGGTCATTGCTGGTGACATCAATGTTCTCCTCGGCTGTTGGGGGAGGACCATGTGACTTTAGTAGCTCCCCTACAGGAAGCAATGGGAAGGCTGGGGACGAGCAGCCCCTGCGGTGGCCCCCACTGCTCACCATCTTCTGGCTCCAGCTTTGCGCAGGTCTCAGCTGTTATGAGGCTGTCCAGAAACTGGTGGCCCAGGGCTCGGGCCACAGGAGTGGGGCCCCGGGCCCCGGGCCCTGTCAGGGTTGGGTTGGCCACCTGGAGCTTGTGCCGGGGCTCGCTGTTAGACTCAGAGCTGTCCAGCCGGACCTGGGCTGTGCTCCGGGGCTGGCGCTCGTTCTGCACGGCTGTGGACACAGGAGTGGTCAGGATGCACATAACCACACTGCTGTCTCTGCCACCCCTGACCCACCCCCCACTCACCATCCTGGTTCATGCCAGCCTGTAAGCACTTCTTCAGCCGGCAGGCCTGGCACTGGTTGCGATGTGCTTTGTCCACGGGACACATCCCCATGCCCACCTGGCATCTGCAGGGAGCGGGGCGTGGAGTCAGTGTCCTGGCCAGATGGCTGAGGTCTGGGGACAAGAGCTGACAGGTACCCTCACCTGTAGATGAGCCCACGCCGCACACTGCGCTTAAAGAAGCCGCTGCAGCCATTGCAGGCATAGATGCCATAGTGCTTCCCACTGCTGCTGTCCCCACACACGCGGCACTGGAGTGCAGGCCCCGTGGCTGCTGCGGCAGAACAGGGGGAAAGGTGGGCCACACAGACACCGCTGGCTGGCTGTGGCAGGGTCCTCCCTCCCTGTTTATTTCTATGTGAGATGGGCTGGTCTCGAACTTGTGGCGATCTCTTCCTGCCTCAGCCTCCACAGTGCTGGGATGCAAGTGTGCACCACCGCATCTGGCTTCTGTCCCACATTCAGACACAGCCCTCCTTCCCCTCTAGAAAAGCATCCCCCACATTCCCACATCAAGGACCCCAGTGCCAGCTTCTGCCCCACCTACCACTACTTCCCTAGTTCCCCTCCTCTCCTGTGAGTGGCATGTGTCTCCCATAAAAGTACTCCTAGCTTCACCCCTGGGACCTCTCTCCTGCTGAGCCCTCGGGGTGCTTCTGGCCACCCTTCTTCCCCACAGAGCCGTCTTGTCCTGTCTTATCCCCCCATATCTTACCATTCTGGGTCCCTCACTTTCCCCAAATCCCCCAGGATTTGCTCAAGAGTCCAGGCTCACCTCCAAGCAAGGCCGTACCTGCTGGGTCCTCTGCCAGGGCCCACCTGCCGGGAGACTCCTTCCTGGAAGCAGTCACAGTCGCAGGCACAGCAGCAGCCATGTTGGAGCTCCTGTCTCCAACCCTGGCGGAGCGCTGGTGGCCCAGCCCTGGATGGTCCCACAGTGCTTCCGCGTCTGTCTCCCCTCTTCTCTTTGAGTTCCTGTCTCCTTAGGTCTCTCCCACCTCCTGTCCCTGCTGTCTGGACTCAGGAGTGTCCCCAGCTCCCCGAGGTCCCTCACAGCCGTGGCTCTGCTTGAGGAGATTTCTCTCGGGGCGGTGCTGGGTGCAGTTCATGATCCTCTTAATCTTTACTGTCTCCCCAGGGATCAGCAGGCTGCACCATAGCAGCGCCACCAAGGTGCCTCTGGGAGCCGGTCAGTCCCGCTGTCCCCACACAGCTCCTGGGCTGCCAGTGTCCCCAGTCTCTCTGCTGGGTGCCCTCTGCTCTCGTGGCAAGTCCTGAAGGCAGCATGTGGGCCCCACCCTCTGGCCCAGAACTGCACTGAGGCCTCAGCCCACGTCTAACGTGGGGTAGCTGCTTTGGTCTCAGAAACTCCAGCTTCTACCCTGGTGTCTTCTCCCCAAGCTCTTAGCACTACCTGGGCCTCTGCTTCAAGCTATAATCTCAGCTGCTCAGCCTGGGCTCACACTTGCGATCCTCCTGCCTCAGCCTCCCAGGCCAATCTCTTGATACTGGGTGGCTTGGGGACCATCATAGCTTGCTTGAGGCCTTTGCCCCCTGGCAGACTGGCAACCCCTGAGGCCTGCGGGTTGTGCCATATGTATGCAGGGCCCGAGACTGACTGTGGTCAGGAGGCCAGTGTGCAGACAGAGTGGTGGGGGGCAGTTTCTCCCCCACCTGGAGGCTGGGCCTATAGGACAGGGGTGGCAGGGGGGTGCAGCCTGGGGGCTCAGTGGCCCCTGTGGTCTCCCATCCTAGCCTTTTGTCCCCAGCAGGCTCTAGGGAAGACAGGGAGGAAGTGCAGGGGGTGAGGTGGGCTCTGCTTCCTCAGCACCTTCTGGGAAAGAGGACAGGGCAGTGGCAGACACAGGTCCACATCCCTGCTCCCTGCTAGGTCACAGGCCAGGCACCCCTTAGCAATGAACAAACTGTCCAAACCTTAGTGCAAAGGGACGATACCTGTGCCTCCTGCCTTCAGGTACGGCTAGGGACACTGAGTTGGACAACTCCCAGCAGGTGCTTCCTGATGAGATGGAAGAAATCAAAGGGAGCAAGGAGACAAAGAAACTGTAACTAAAAGCCTTGAACTTTTAAGAAGACCTCAACATCCGGGACAGGCCCAAGTTCCCAAGGTAACCAATCGTACCTGCTCAGGACTAGAAGCCCACAAACTGGCTCCCCTGAGGACCCAGCAGCTGGAGCCTGATCCATGATAAGGGGCAGGTGGAGCAAACGCAAACAATGTCCAAATTACTGATCAAGAATGACCATGCCCAGAGCACAGGCTAACACCCTTGGCGTCACCTTTTCCAGGGTTTCCAGCCCTTCAAGGGAGCCACAGATGTCCCCAGTTCCAAACTGTAAGGCCACTCTGCCTTGCATGAATCCCTGGCCATCTGGAGACTGCATCTTTGGAAGCCCAGAAGAAGTTTCAGGAAGGACCCCCGTGTCCAGGGGGCAGAGTGGGGGTGCAGCCCCTGGAAGGGGGTTAACGCTCACTTTGACAGAGCAGCACTATTTCGGATTTGGGAAGTCAGCCCAAGGCTTTGCAGGGTAATCGGCTTTCTGGGGCCTCACAAGATCGAGGCTAGGGGACCAAGGTGCTCACCTGTCCCCCTCTGTCCTCCTGGCTGAAGTCACCTCCAACGAGGATCAGGTCCCCTAAGGGTCAAAGCCTACGTGCTGTCCCTGAATCTGGCTGAGCAGTGGCTCCACTCCACACCCACCCACCCTCTGCTTGAGCTCGGCCACCAGAGCCCCACCATGGGGCTCACCTGCACAGACACTGTGGCCTGGACCAGGACACCCATGGGACTGTGTGCACGGGGGACCAAGGCCGGTCCTGACTCAGCATGAGTGGCCCCCAAGTCTTCAGAGACAGAGAGGTGCTGGGGTCCTGGAGGACGTTCCATCAGCCTGGTGCAACCTGGGAATGCAAGGCCACAGGGGCTCGGGCAGCAATGGTTCCCGTTCAGCGTGTAGCGAGCCCATGGGGATGCCAAGGAAACAGAGTCAGTGACCTGGGGCCCACAGCTCCTGATGTGGGGTGTGTGGAGACTGCGGATGCAAAGGGCGGCTGCAAGCCTGGGTCTGGTCCCCAAAGGCCTGCTCGTCCCAGGCCACTCCCTAGAGACGCCTGGAGCTGAACCCTCCCCCAACCCCCAGTGCCAGATGTGTGGAGAGGGAGCAGGAGCTGAGAACTCGGTCTGGGACCTCAAGGCCAATGCTGCAGTTTTTCCCACAGGTCACAGCAGGGGCACTTTGGGGGTGCAGAGGGAGGACCAGGTCTGAAAGCTGCCTTGGGGAGCAGAGCAACAGATCTGGTGACCTCACAGGCACAGGTGACCGCAGAAGTGCTGGAGTCCTGACACCACAGGAACCCACAACAGCCTTTGTGAATTTGACAGAATAAGCCAACCAGGTGTGCAGCTCTCCCCTAGAGTATGGCTTAGAGTTCACTGCATAGGATAGAGGGGAGATCAGAGGGACAGAGAGACAGAGAGGTGACCTTTTCAAGCATGGAAAGGCCAAGGTGGCGGTGAGGCTGAGCGAGGTCCCTGAGACATTTCTGTCATTCACCGAATCTTTCAGGGCTGACTTTGCCCTTGCTTCGGGCTCTGTTCTACAAACAAAGCAGCATGAAATTCATAGACGTCATGGAGAAAATTCAAAAAGCTGCAACTTGAAGAACAACTTGTATTACGCACCGCAGTGATGGGTCATCGCAAGAGTGGAAAGGCAGGCAGAAAAGGATTCATCTTCTTAGTTCAAGGGCCTGGTGCGGAAGTCGGCCTTCACCCCTGGACGTTGGAGCACAGGCACAGCTCGATTTCTTTACGTTCTTCCCAGCCTGCCCAACCCTCTGCCTTGGTCTCTACGCCCCCTTTCCCCACCTTCATCATTGTCAGTGGTGAAGTTTATTTTATTTTTTGTGGCTGATTCAGCCCACCCTGGGGGCAGGGCTGGTGTGGCATGTGGTGCCGGCGATTGCCTAAATTTACCTAAGTAGGCGCATTAGACCACTGAGCTATCTCGCCGGCCCAGTATTACCATTTTTTAGCTCATATTTACAACATACGATGTTTACATTCATTGTGGGGATATGGTGCACCTATGTGACTCCTCTTAAATCTTACTTCCACTCTACTCACCCTCTGTCCCTTCTTGTTTCCAAAGATCTGTCTCCCCATGTCCTTCTAGCAAACTTTGCTTTGCTCTTTATTTACATTTGGTCTTATTCAAATGAGAGAAAGGAACCATATGGTATTTAAACAAGTGTGTGAGATTTCACTTAACATATTCCAGGTGTATCCATTTTCCTACAAATGTCTTGAGTTTATCCTTCTTTATAGCTGAGTAGTATTCCGTTGCATATAGAAGCCACGTTTTCTTGATCTATTCAGACTGCGTGGTTCTTCTAACTCCTGTCTGGGTCCTTCCAATTAGCCTCCTGCATGGGTCTGCAGCCTGTTAGCACTGTTTCCTCCGCCTGACACAGGCAAGCACAGGATCTAGCTGGGCATCAGCTGGGGGAGAGGCTCCTTGCCCCTCTGCCTTGGCCCTCCACACCTGTTCAGGGCTCGCTGCTCTAAGGAAGTTGCATTCAGTGCCAGTTTTTTTTTTTCCCCCCCCAGTACCGGGGATTGAACTCAGGCTCTTGTGCTTGCCAGGCAAGCACTTATTCTACTGAGCTATCTCCCCAGCCCCTAGGACCAGGTTTTGTCCTTAATGTGGAAGCTTATATCAGGCCAACTTTCTGTCCTTTATCAAACAGGGGAGCCTGGCACCAGTGTCAAGGTTTTACTGCATCTGAGAGCAAGGCTCATAGAATACTTCCAGGACAGGAAGTTGTACTGTGTTTTCCTGATTTCCTACAGTGGGAAGGAATCAGACAAGAACTACAGAACCCATCCAGCAAAAGGCAACTGCAGTGTTTGATCTGCAGCTGTCTGTCTTTGTTTTCACTCTGTTAGAGACAGGGTCTCACTGCGGAGCCCAGACTGCCTTGAGCTGCAGGGGATCCTCCTGCTTCAGCCTCCCCAGTGCTGGGGTCACAGGTATGCGCTGCCACACCCTGCTGTTTTCACTTTATTATGTGGCCCTCTGGCCCTTGTTCTCAGGCAGGTCAGGCCCCAAGCTAGAGGAAAGGACAAGGACAAAAACCCAGCAAAGCGTGGAGCCTGGTGGCTGGGGGTGTGTGGAGGTCCCCCCAATCTGTGATGGCCAGCTGCTGGGGCAGACGCCAAAGGATTACTCAGCTCAAAGCCTCAGATCTGCTGACAAGGCACCAGAGGCCACCTTATCACTAATACAATTATTCCCTGAGGGGGTGGGTCAGCAGCCTCCTATGACTCCCAGCTGGGATGGGGGTGGGGTGGAGCAGGTGAGTGGTGTGCCGGCTAAAGGCTCAGAGAGAGCTGACCTCCTTCCTAGGTTCTGGTCACCAGGAGCTGGTGGGCCAGGGGGAGGGAGATGGCCCAGCCGCCGCTGCCAGGCAGGTGTTAACAGGGCTCCGGGTTTGGGGCAAGGCTCCATCCAGCATGTGTCCTGAGAGGCCTTCTGTTCGGGGATTTCTTCAAAAACGCTCTCCATCACTTCAGGTGAGGGAGCGCAGGCTCCCGAGCTGGACTCCTGGACGCCCGCAGCTCCGCCCCGGAGCCCACCCGAGTGCTGCCTGAGGTTTGAGTCTGAGGCTGCTCCGGCAGCATCTGACTGCGCGCCCACGCAGCCGTGGACGGCGGGCTCAGCCCGCAGCCAAGGTCCCCCGCCCGGGCCCCTGCCTTTGTTCCCTCCCTCGGGAACGTGCTGGCTGCTGAATTTCCTCTTCAGAGCGCTGCCCAAAATACAGCAGCCTTAGCCTGGTTTCACGAACTCCAAGGGAATTTCTGGCCACGGATCACAGGACGCCTTTCTCCCCTAGACGAATCAATGGCTGCTTTTTCTAGAGCAGAGAGTGGAAGGCTCAGAACCTGAGAGGCAGATGCCAGCCGGCAGGGAGTGTCCTCAACAAAGCCCCTCTGTTCGCCTCTCAAGATAACATTGAGAAATAATCAGATCTTGCCACACAGCTTTCTCGGCCCTTGGCAAGCAACAAAAGGCCTGGGCAGAACTGGAAGGGCCCAGCCTGTCCTAAGCTGGGGAGAAGCAAGGCAGTTTGTCCTTAGCTGGGGTGGGGGCTACATGGCTGTAATGCCAGCTTCCTGGGAGGCTGAGGCAGGAAGATGGAAAGTTCAAGGCATAAGAGCCTCCCCTGCGTCTCTGCTGAGGTTTATTTTTGAGGTCCTAGACCACAGCACGACAGCTGCAAGGGTCTATAGAACCCTCTCCAGTGGAACAGTTACTAAGAGTGTGTTCAAGCGTGACCTGGTGTGTACGCTCCTGTGTGACTTTGGTACCGCCTCAGCTGTATTTTTCAACATGCTTTATGAGCTCGCCTTATCAGTTTGTCCACAGTATCGAGTGCCTTTCCGTGGAGGGAAGGGCATGTTCTTTGGAGAGCGTCTCAGAGCACGCACGAGCTCATGGCAATCTAAGATCCGGGGTACAGGATGGGGAGTGGCCCTGCGGCAGCCACAGCCCCGCTAAGTGCAGCCTAGCGCTTCCCACACACAGCTGTCATACTGCAGACCCTCCTCCCCCACCTGCTGGGGCGCGCTCTCTCTCTTTCTCTCTCTTTATATTGGGGATTGAATCCAAGGCCTTTGCTCTGAGCCATAAACCCAGCTCTTTTTATTTTGAGACAGGCTCTCACCAAGTTGCCAGGCTGACCACAAATGTGCAATCCTTCTGCCTCAGCCTCCCAGAGTCTGATGTTGTCCCTTCAACCTTGTGCTTTTTTTCTTTTTGCAGAACCGGGGATTGAACTCAGGCCCTTGCGCTTGCCAGGGAAGCCCTTATTCTACTGAGCCATCTCCCTGGCCCCAACCTGGTGCTTTTTAACAGTTTCTTACACAAGCTTGGGCTGGCGCTGTGATATGCAAGATGCTGCTGTCGTCATCGAAGCAGCTACGTACAGCTTTTAAATACACGATGCCTGTTTCCATTTTATCTGCCAGTGAAATGGTTTATATATGTTGGAAAAATCTTAAGATGAAATAACAAGGAACAACAAAAACAAAAAAGAAATAACAAGGAGCAAAGGACCATGAACACGACACAAAAACCAGAACTGGTTCTCAGAGGCATTCTGACTGATACTAAGTGTAACATATTTTGATATGTAACATTTAAATAAATATTAACATACAACCTATATAATGCAATATGCTATTTAATATAAGTGTTTTTGAAAAATATATTTATGGATCTTTTATGTTTCTTTAGTAGGAATGATGATCTATCGCTTATTTATCTCTGCCTCAGTGTCCCAGAAAGAAATTAGAGACCAGCCTGACAAAGCAGGGACAGTCTCAAAAAAAAAAAAAAAGAAAAAAAAGCCAGTATGACTGAATTGACAACTGCAGTTGATGTTCATGGCAGCTGTGGGTGACAGTCACATGGGTTTCCTTGGTCTATTTTTTGTTTGTTTGCTTTCCTTCAACTAGGCCTCACATGGGACTATGTAGCCCAGGGCAGCCTCCAACTTGAGGTGATCCTCCTACCTCAGCCTTCTCAGTGCCAGGATTGCAGGCCTGCACCTTTACACTCAGCTTTTCCTGCCCTATTAGCTCTGATTTTGTTTGTAACTGAAATTTCACTCATACACACTGACTGCATGAAATGTGAGACCAGTAGGGTGTTGGCTGACCTTGGGATGCCCTCTGGACACACACACTCTGGTCCAAGCCCTTTCTGCCCCCCCATACCTTCCCAGGCATGTAGATTGGGGGTGACGTACAGAGTGTTGGGGTGGGGGATTTGGGGGTGGGACCCTTCTGTGAAGACACCAGATGGCATGTGGGGCGGAGCCAGGATCTGCCCTCCCCTTCTGGTCTACACCGGGTCCTGGCCACTTGCATCATCCCTCCCCTCTGCCCACAGTTCAATACCATCTTGAATTGGTCCCCTGTGGACCTTGGCCTCCACATCCGGTCACCATCATCAGTTATTAGTGTCCATGAATACCCTCCACCATGAACACGAGCTCTAGGAACAGAAATCCCTTCTGTGTCACTGAAGGCTGGACACATGGAGGGGTGGCTAATTGTTTTCAAGTGACTACATGAGCACAAGGCTGTACTGGGTCCCTCGATGCTCACGGCTCGGAGCAGTGCCCAGGCCTGGGGCTCTTGCCAGCTGCCATCACCTTCCCTCCTGGCTAAGATCGACTGGGTGACTCTGGTAAGAGAAGGGTTGCTGTGGTGGAGGGAGGAGGCATTCTCAAGGGAGCGGTGCTCCAAGAACCCTGATCCAAGCGCTGTTTCCCAAGAGGTCTTCCTCAGTCTTCCCTGAAGGGACAGGAGCCGGCAGAAGCTCGGCTCCAAGACTGCTTGTCCCTTGCTGGCGGCCTCCGCCCAGCCCTCTGTTCTCTCTGTTCTGGGATGGCATCCCCTCCCAGCTGGTGCTTATTGCCCAGCTAATCACACAGCTGTGGGACCTCTGCCCTCTCCCACCGCCCAGCAAGGCCACCACAGCGACACACTCGTCAGCCAGCAGTTTGCCCACTTCATAGTGTTTCATTTCCCAAATTTTAGCATCTTTGATGGAATTGGAAATTTCAGACTTCATTAGTACCTCGATGCCTCTTCAGCATAGGATTTACAGCTTAGTGACTGCTTCTGGCAGCATTGTCTCATGTTTAACACAGTTTTGGTCTTTTCTGCCCAGGCACCAAAGGGGAGCACTTGTGACAGGGGGCCACGAGGCATCTCTGTCCCATCAGAACAGCTGCTGTGTTTGTGTCCTGACACCCAGACTGGGGCAGGAGAGCTCCTGTCACACCATAACCGCTAAAAGTTGGGTGCTGCATGGAAAGGATTTCCCACAGACTCAGGGAATGTCACCTTTGCAGTGAAATAGTGTTCCTTAGAAAGGATTTCCTGTGTCTCCAAGGGAACCACAGAGACCATTTGAGCAGACTTTGCTTTTCTTATTCTATGGGCCACTGCCTGAAGGGTTCAGGAACAGTGTGGAAGGAGGTCATCTGCAAGCTAAAGCTGGGCAGTGCGGTCAAGTTAAACGTGGAGGACATACCGGTGACAAGGAGACATCCCCACACAGGGGCCATCCTGCAGTGGTTCCTGGCCAGGTGGCTTCATTGTGTCACACATGCAGAGTCAGAAAAGGAGGAAAGCAATAGGGCCAGCAGACAGGCGGGTGCCTTCCAGCTGGAAAGGGGCCTGGGTGGGAGGAGGTCATGGGGGCTGATGGGGACTCAGAGCACCTGGGGCCACTGACTCAGTGCTGATCAGGAGGTGATGCCCTGAACCTGACAGCTGGCGCGTTCTGCATTCTGACCACCTGCTGCTCCCTTGTGTGGGCACCACCGGGATAAATGAGCTCTTTATTTAGTTTTGTTTTTATTAGTACGCATTAGCAGTACACGTTTGCATTCATCTTGGGGGCGAGTTACCTTATGTAATATAGCTTAATTCTTTTTATCCCTTTGCAGGTAAGAATAGCCACCGAACCCATTTTTGGCCAATATGATCTAAGAGAAAGTTGGCCAGCTACAGGAGAGGATTCTGGGAATGTGTTTGCTTCCCTGGTAAACAGAGACAAATGCAGCTGCAAACTGCCCTTCCTGAAGATGGATGTGACAGCTGGATCAGTAGAAGCTGTCTCACCATGAGGCAGAGGTCTAGAGATGCCAAAAAAATAGGCCTTTAAGCCCTCGAGTTCCTGAACAAGTGCCAGCAACTGTTTCCCTCTCAATTTGTTACAAAAGAGAAACACCTTCCTAAATCTAAATAGTGGTCAGGCTTGCTTCTATGCATGGCCAAATGAATGCCTCAGTGACACCCAGATGATCTCTTTAGCAAAGTTAAGTTGTGTATAATTCCCAACTTACCCCCTTCCCAGGTTAAGTCTGCGATTCTAGACTTTACAAAAGACTTTTTCTATGCAGGTGGGGCACAAGGTCTGGCTGCACAGTTCAGGTGGACTCTGACCTTGCAGCAGTTCCCCCTGCCTCAGCCTCTGAGTGCTGGGGTCACAGGAGTGCACCAGTGGCTGGCGCTCTGTTTACTGAGGCTACGCCCGGTACCCTAACAGGCCCAGTTGTGCAGAGCCCACACGTGAGAAGCCAGCTGGGCTTGAGACAGCTGAACCGTTTTTGGAAGGCGCTGCTGGAACAGTGCAGAGAGAACATGACTAGGGTCGGAGGAAACACGCACATGTTCACACTGCAGATCTTTTAACTGTTTATTGTATTTTTACAATAAAAATAAATTAGTCATACACAAAATAATTGTCATTTTTCCTGAAAACAGGCCGTATTTACTCGTATAATCCACCATGCGCTCTCCACTCTATAGAACAGTCTCACTCCGCCCAGGGGCAGGGGCGGATGGAGTGTGCAGTATGCTCCTGGCCTCTGCATCCTGGCTACGCAGTCACAGGACAACCTGTTGCCCTGGCCCAGTCCCCAGAGGGACCACTGGAGCCACAGGCCTTCAAGCCTCTCCCTGCCCGATCTGCAGCTCTGACCCTGTTGGCCTAACGGCAGGTGACACAAGGAGGACAAGAAGGATGTGGGACAGGCCATGTGTCCTCAGAATACACAGGGACAAGACGCAGGCAGATTATACGAGGAAATAAATGTTAAAGTGGAAAGACAGAAATTATGTCCAGGAACGATGCCCGAGTGAAAGCCCTGAACAGTCAGAAGGAGAGTAATTTATGTTTGCTCTTAAACCCCAATGAGTTTGACTCTTCTGTGTACTAAATGATGGTAAAAATGGACTTAGAATAAGGCAGTATGGGGTAGTGGCATTCCAGGAAGCTGGTTAGTATGGACAGAGATTTTGCACAAAAGTGGATGGTATATGCAAATAAATACCTATTCGGTCCCTTTAAAATTAACATACTCTAAATTATAGAACTATTTTGGTGTAGTGACTTATTCTGCAGATAGAGTTCAGAATACATATTTCCTATAAACATCTTGTATTTACAAAGAACAACATAATAAGTTATCACAAAGTATATCCTTCTGTCAAACCGCAGAGAGGAGCAGGGGGTCCAGGCAGGTAGGGGTTCCTTGGAGGTAACAGAAGGGGTTTCCTGGCACTGAGCAGGGGCTCACCGTCTGGAAGACACTGAGCACACTGGCTGGGAGTTGTCACTGTCTAGTGGTTCCTGAGCCAGGGCACAAAGAGAATCTGGGTAGAATGAGGACTCAGGGATGGTTCAGGGCAGAGAGAATCACTCTGCCCCGAAGTGGTAGAGGAAAGCCAGAAACTGAGAGAGGCAGGTGGGAGGTAAAGGGCTCCTGGCTCCTGGACGTGCTGTCTCCCTGGCCATACCACATTTGTGTCCTCTGTGACACAGGACCAGACGGACATCTCTCCCCATGCTGCCAGTGGTTCTCAGACATACGAAGCCACATGCTTAGGGGACAGAAGCATCGATGGGTCTGAAATGGCCCACGTGGGAGCAAAAGCTGGGAGTGGGACGGGACGCTTGTGGGTTGCACTTGAAGTCCTCACCAAGCTGTTCTATTAACATAAGTGCCCAAACCCTGACTTGGAAGTGACCCTGAACATCATGGTGGCCAGCCGGTTGTCTGAGACCCTCTCCTATATCCTGACACAGGGCCATCTGGTTTTGGTGATATCTCTAAGGATGGGCCAGTCACCACTGGCCACAAGCTTTCTGACACTGCCAAGTGGTTCTCCTGCAAGAGCAAACATCCAACTCCCTGTAACTTCTCTCTCCTGGCCTAGGATGGCTCCCATGGGGCCGAACCATCCCCACACCCCACACTCTTACAAGGTGTCCCGCTCTCTCTATCCAGCCCAGCTGGTTTTCCCCACCTGGACATTCCACACGGGCAACAGTCTCCCAAGGTGTGGCCCCAGATGAAATGTGGCACCCATGTCTTCTTGGGTCACCTAAACCCTTGTGAATTTTATTTATTTTTGCCAGGCAAGCGCTTATTCTACTGAGTCATCTCCCCAGCCCCGTGAATTTTATTTTTTGGTGGCTTTATTCTACTTTCTTCAGCTTTGTTCACTGAAATACATCGCCTAACCTTTTCCTTGTATGGTTTTTAAACATCCAAAGGTAAATCTTTAGGTTGCTTCCTGGTGAGCTGTTAAGATCTGGACTGTAATCCACTCTTCTGATCTGTTTAGATCCGGCAGCTGTTAGCTAAGCCAGCAGTTCTCTATTTCCTGTCAGTCAGTTTCTCTTCCAGTAAAGCACTGACTTCCCCATCCAAACTGTTAAAAATGGCAAAGACTGGATTTGGTCTCCACCTGCTGGGCTGATGCAGAATATTCAACGTGGCTTCGCTTCTGCTTCTGGTTGTCTCTTATCCCTTCTATTTCTGTATTCTTCTTCTTTTGAAAATTGTTACCCTGACTCTACCTGAGCACTATTAGTGGACAATGATGAAAACAGAAAACACTGGCTTAGTACACTAATACCTAGATTTCTCTTGGTGCCAAACCGTTCGCTTGATGAGAACAAGTCAAGCTAGTGTCTCCTATTTTCTCTCCTTTCATAAAGCTACCCTGGGAATGAGGGACTGATGTATACTCAGGGGAATGAAGAAAGAGTTCATTCCTGCTGGGACGGGAAGACAGAGGGACAGATGCAATCGGTTTTGACAGCTACCCCAGGGGTTCCCTCAGGCTGGGCTGCCCCGAAACCTTTCCTGCGGGGAACTGTCTCCCTCTAGTGGCGGGTTTGCAAAGAGCTTTGCAACGTCGGGTATTTCCTGTCCCTTTCCAAACCCTTCAGGTGGGCCCTGAGTCTGGGTAGGACAGAGGTCAGGAGGTGGCCCTTGCCCTAGGCTGGGAGAAGCACGACTTCGCTCCGAGGTTTTGCTGAGTTCTGCAAGGGAAAACACATAACAGCTGTATCTAATTTTAAAATTGCAGGGAACAAGGCAACGCAGTACGGGGGCGGCAGGGGGGCGGTGTTAAAATATGAATTCTCATTCTGCATTCTGGCCAAGGAAGGAAGGAGGAAGCCTGGGAAGGTGCTGGTGGGTGATGACAGGACAGAGGGGGGATAGGTGCTGGGAAAGGAGACAGCATCTCTGGAGAAGAGTGCCCCAAGGTGGGCTTTCCTGGGCTTCACCCTGGCACAGGACCACAGGAAACACCCAAGTCCTGGTGGGATGCGCCACGCAGCAGACTGTGTGGTCAGGGGCTGAAATGAGAACTGCACACCCAGCGCTTCCTCGGGCTGCAAGCAACAAAGCCTCTGTTCTGATTACCTGGTCCCAAATATGTGTGGACCCCAAGAATAGCTCGACTGTTTGCTCGAAAGAAGCCCCCTAGCTGGGGTCCCCTTCTCCCTGTGAAGGCACAGGCTGGCTCAACTCCACACGCGGCAGAATGGCCATGTCCTGGGAGGACCCCCGTTCTCTCAGAGGTGGCTAGGTAGCACGGGGGAGCCTCAGGACACGTGGATGCTAAGGAGGTACAGCCATCACTGATCCAGGCCTGAGAATTCCTGAGCTGAAAGGACTGGGGCGTTGCCCTCCAACAGGTCAGGGAAGTCTCTTTAGGGACAAGGCGCTCCCTTGGGGTGGTGGTCTGCGCCCCTCGTGGATGGCTTGGATTGCTGGAGCTCTTTCTTTGTTCACCTAAACCAGCCTCCTGTCTCTACCCCTTGGCATTGGCGGCCCCTGTGGGTGGCGAAAAATTGCAAGCAGCTCAAATGGTCTGCTCAATCAGCAGGCCCTAAAGGCATAGCCTGTGGGAAAACAGGACACCAGACAGGGCTAGGACAGGAACCTGTATTTCCCGGGCATCTCTGGTCTCCTAGTGGTACCCTGTGGTGCAGCAGTGGGACCTGCCTGTCATCTGAACAGAGGGAGAGGATGGGATGCCCTGGAAATGCATCCGGGCCCTCCAAGTTCAGGAGCTGGCAAAACACCCCCAGAGTACCACCCAGAGAGAGGCTAGAGGAATGCAAGTGGGTGGCTGCCAATCCTCATCAACTTAATGGTCAAAATGCTTAGGGGTAAGCGTAAGGCTTGTTTGGAAAGGGAAATATGCCCAGGACCTCGAATGGGAGACATTTACAAGTCCACAGTTGTTTAGCTTGATATTCTTCTTGATGGAGGAAAGAAAAACAATATTGAAATTGCTTTTTGTTTTCTAGGTGTGCTGCACCCCTGCTCAGGCCAGAGCCCTCTGCAGTTCTCTTGCTGGGTGAAGTGAATTGGGGTTCATGGCTTCTCCCAGGCCAGCTGCATGAATGCAGGTCGTGGTCAAGTCTAGGGGAAGTGAGGGCCGTGAGTCATGTGGGCGAGGGGAGGCGTGTGAGGCACAGAGAAAAAGCCACAGAGCGCTCCTGAAAGACCCGAGTGAGACTTGGAAGCTCTGCGGGGCTCTCAGCTTAGACCCCACAGCAGCCATGCACAGCATGGAGCCTGGGAGAGATGGCTGAGGGTGGTGAGAGGGACATGTTGTCACTTGGGGCAGCGCCAGCATAGCAGGCAACCCCTTGGCTCTCCCTGTGGCTGTCCTGTTCCCAGCACAGGGATCTGCTGCTGCTCCTGCTGCTGCTGCACTTAGGGAAGCTGGAGCTGTCCCTCTGTGGAGGGGAAGAACCTGGCATGGGACATGGGACCCGAGCCTCACACTGCAGAGGGGAGAAGCTGAATCCCAGGCTGTGTTTGCTGCGGGGCAACTTCTCAGCCTTCTGCCTGGAAAGGAGACAGCCACCTTCAGGCCCCAGGAGGTGATGGTGGTAGGTGAAGGCTGTGGGCAGATAACTGGGCAGGCGACTGGGCAGGTACTCAGCTCTGCCACATGACAGTTCCTGAGATGGGCCTCAGTTTCCTTATTAAAAAAAAAAGTGGAAATGGGAGAATTACTCATCCACTGCCTCTCAGACACTAAGGAGCCAGTATTCGGGAAAACACTGGCTGCAGCACCAGACAGCCCTGCTGATGTAGGCATCCTAAGGCAGGAAGATGGGCTGATGGCTTGGAGGGTGAAAATACGTCACAGCGGGGTTCATTGTCAGAGAGGCTGAGGAGGTCTGCCAGGGGGCACTGCCTCCTCTGACCCCCAGGTAGTACCCACTTTGGAGAGGCCAGAAGCACCGGGTCACATGGGGCAGCTCCCAGCAGGGATATCTGCTGACTTGGACAGCACCAGGGCTGTGTGGGCACCATTTGCAGGTGCTGGCTTCCTGGAGTCTTGAGTCCATGGCACTGCTCAGAGGGCAGCTGTGGCTTTCTAATGCCCTGGCACCGAGCTCCTAGCACAGAAGGAGCATGTGGCCAGAGATGAGGGTAGCCAGCAGTGCTCTAGGACAGGGTATGCGTTATCTGCTCCCCAGGAGGCCGGCGTGCTTGGCGGCCACCCGGGCACAAGACGCGCAGCAGGCTGTCTTGTAGTAGTTGTAGACACAGAGGCGTGCCTGCACCACCACATTGCAGTTGTAGTACTTGTCCTGGCAGTTTTCATCTGTGGGGGAGAGAACAAAAGAGACTCCCTGAGCCCAAAATAGTCCTAGACCAGTGGAGAGTAAGGACAGTGGGCACATCTTTTCATTCTGGCCCTGCCATTTATCACCTCTGTGAGATATGTGTGTGCCAGCAACTTAGAGTGTCTATCATCCACCCATCCACCACCCATCCACCCATCCATCCACCCATCCACCCATCCACCCACCCATCCACCTATCCATCCACCCATCCACCCATCCACCCACCCACTTATCCACCCTTGCATCATCCATCCATCCATCTACCCATCCACCCATCCATCCACCTATCCACCTATCCATCCATCCATCCATCCATCCATCCATCCATCCATCCATCCATCCACTCACCCACCCACCCATCATTCCATCCATCCATCCACCCACCTACCCATCCTTCCATCCATTCGTTCATCCATCCATCCATCCATCCATCCATCCATCCATCCACCCATCCACCCACCATTCCATCTGTCCATCCATCCACTCATTCATCTATCCATCCACCCATCCACCCACCTATCCATCCATCCATCCATCCATCCATCCATCCATCCATCCATCCACCCACCCACCCACCTACCCATCCTTCCATCCATCCATTCATCCATCCATCCATCCACCCATTCACCCACCATTCCATCTGTCCATCCATCCTCTCATTCATCTATCCATCCATCCATCCATCCATCCATCCATCCATCCATCCATCCACCCATCCATCTATCCATCCATCCATTTTTTTAAGACAAGATCTCACTATCTGGTTCATGCTGGCCTTGAATTCATTATGTAGCTCAGGCTGGCCTCAAATGCCTGTGGTCCTCCTGACTTAGTTTCTTGAGGTCTGGGATGATAGGTATGCACCACCGTGTCCTGCTGGCTCTTGCTTTTCCATGTAAATTTAAGACCCAGTCTGCGAGACTTTTGTATGCAAAGCCCTGTTAGGGTTTTGATGAACAGTGCTTGAATAGACAGATTAACGTGAGAAGAAACTGACTGTGTACTTCTCAACTGGATGCTTTGTTGTATTACTCACAAATGTATTTAAATATTGTAACGCTCACCAGCCTTTTTCCGGGCATCTGTGTACTCTCCCTAGGTGGTGTAGCATGCTTAGCCATTTCCTCTATGGATGGAAATGGCTTTGCTTTGCTTTTGATTTCTGTGAGTTTTTAAAAATCATTAAATTTACTTGTTAGGGTTGAGGGTCCACCCCAGGGCCTCTTGCGTGCTGTGCGTGTGTGGCTGGCCCTGCAGTCACACCCCCAGCCCTTGTTTGTTAATCCTACAGTGTTTATTGAGCCCTGTTCTTCAAGTGGATGTGCATTTCATACACTTTTAAGAGCGCATGTTTAGTCTAAACTCCTGCAAGTCGAAGATAATGATCTCCTGACCGCTCACACCAAGGCACGGAGCTTGAGCCCTTCCTCTGCAGCTTTGCCTGCGACGATGAGTCATGTTGAGAGTCTGCCGAGTTTACAGAAAAATCGGTGGTCCTGTGCTTTTTAAAATTTGCATTGCTGATACTAGCTGCATATATATATATA